TCCCTTCCATTATTCCAGAACCTTCCATAAAGTCTTGTTCAACATTGTAGCAAACCACAGCCTAGAATGGAGAAACAACCAAGAGCATAGGTACGGAGAGGGACAGATGAGCTTTATTATGGGAATTGGCTCCCATCATTATGGAAGCTGAAAAGCCCCACTGTATGCTTTCTGCAAGTTAGAGAACCAGGGAAGCTGGTGGCGTAGCTCAGTCCAAGTTTGAAAGCCTGAGAACCTGGGAGTGGGGGTGCTGTTGGTACAACTTATAGAATTCAAAGGCTGGATCTGATGTCCAAGGGCAGGTGAAGATGGGCGTCCCAGCTGCAGAAGAGAGGAAGGGGGAAGTGGGGGGAGGGGGGGCGAGAGGGAAAGAGAGAAGAAAAGAGAGAGCCTGCATGGCAAATTCACTTTTCCTCTGCCTTTTGTTCTATCAAGGTCCTTAACCAATTGGATGGTGTCTGCCCCCATTGAGTGAAAGTGAATATCCTTACTCAGTCCAGTGAATCAAATGCCAATCTCTTCTGGAAACACCCTCATAGATATACCCAGAAATAATGCCTTATCAGCTACCTGGGTATCCGGGTATCCCAGTCAAGGTGGGATTTTAATCCCACCTAAAATTAAACATCTCATCTCCTTTTCTCAGTCCCCCTGGTGGTCCCCTGACAGACAGGCTGGAGCACCTCTGCCCATTCTAATGCCAGCCCAAGTGGTTTTCTCCAGATGATGTACAGGAGAAAGGCCTGTCAGTGCCTTCAGGGAACACCTGTCCCAGTCACAGGGAGGGCCTTTGTCCCTCTAGGAGCAGGCAGTTATGGTTGCATCAGGACATTCTGGGTAATGCGTTCTGGCATGAGTTCAGGATGGGGCTCACCAAGCCCAGACCAGGTTGGGCAGGGCCCACCCCAAATCGGTTTCTGTTTCTCTCAGGGTTGGGTCGGTCACCATCAGTGGGCATGGCAGCTGGCCTGCAGGTCTTGCTGCATTGCAGCTCTGCCTGTCCTGCAAACTGCTTGAAGGAGAAAGAGCACACCGAGTCCTTGGTGCCCCAATCCAGGTCTGAGAGGAATGCTTCTTTTTAAATGTCCAAATTACAGCAAACAACTTCCACCACCACTACAACAAAGTATGTTTCTTCGAAGAAGCCGCAGACCTGCTAACTGAACTATGTAAGCTGCTGGGCCTCCTCTCTACAGCCAATTCATGCAAACTTCTAGTCTAAAGCCTCTGCCTTGGGGCTAATTCTTAGCAGGAGAACGTAAGAGGTGGGAACCTGTTCACAATGGCAAAACTCAGCTGCCTGTACAGATGGTGTTCCTAGAACTAACGAGCATCAGCCCTCGGTAAGTTCAAGAAGTTGTCTCAGGATCTCGATGTGGACAAGGCACCGTGATAAAAAAGAAAGGTAAGATGGGGTATAAAATAGATTCTGCAGGTACCGGGAGGACATTGCAAATCCGTTGAAGGTGAATGGAGCCACACATAGCCTGGATAGACACGAAACGGCACAAAGGGAGAGAAAGGCTACATGCTGGAGGGCCAGGGTGTGGAGTCACATCAGGGTTGGTGAGTCAGAGAGGAGGGAGGGATGTGAACACGTTCTGTGCTCTCTTGGGTCCCGCCAGGCTCACGTGTAGCTTTGCTCCGGCACGTTTGTGTCACATGCTGTGACACTGTGGAATCCTCTGGCATGTCAGGTGGGCTCCTTCCATGGGGGCAGGGACAGACAGTCGTTCCCGCGTTCTTTTGTTCTATATTGCTTGCCTCCCACTGGCTGGTCTCCCGCTGGCTGCTGGGAACAGTCAAAACATGAAGGAACCCAGGTCTCTGTTCAGGCGGACCTTAGGACCGAGACAGGAGTCTGGTGTTAATGGAATAACCACACGAATGAACACACTGGCCACAGGCCCAGCTGAAACCTCGGCACCTCGCGGCTGCGGAAGGTCCCCAACTGAGGTCTAAAGTTTTCATTAACAAAGGAAATGACCCTGTGGGGATCTGACTTGTTTTTCATGACTGCAACTGGCTGTTGACGATCTTCTCTGCTTTCTAAACGTCTCCAACTGGGAATCTTGCTAGAACCCCAGCTTGGAGGAGCGTAAGCCCTGAAAACCTCTTTATCAGAAGATGGCCTGAGTACCTGCTTAAGGCTCGGTCATCCGGGGCCTCGCGGCTGCCTGCACCACCACCCTGCACCAAGGGCCTGGGCTGACTGGGAAGCGGAGCAGGCCCCGCCCAGAACACGGGTCAGGTGGCCACGTCCAGCTACGAGGGCACGCTGCGTGGGGCGGGGCTTCTTACCCAACTGCGCTTCCCAATTGGCTTCGGGGCTTCCTTTGAGCTGGTCGCGAGGAGGTGTGCAATCCGCGCTTTCCAGTGGCTTCGGGGGGCTGCTGCTTTGGCGGGAGTTGGCGGCTGGTGTGAGGTGAGACTCGCAATGGCCGCTCTCTGGCGAGGCCCTGTCAGACCCCAACCCGGACCATCCAGGGGCTTTCCTCCTTCAGGAGCCTGGTCTGAGCGGCCTGTTGGGGACCCAGCAGGAGGTGAAGGGGATGGAGCGCTGGCCGTGCAGGGCTTGTGGCGTGAATGAGTCTCTCTGGGGCGTGGTGTTGAGGGCGGCAGTGGAGAGCACCGCTTTGCCTGGTCCTCGGCATCCTGTCCCCCTACATCCAGAGGGGGCATCCAGGACCCGACGTGGGGCAGGTGCTCTGCGAATATCTTGAGGTAGTTCTGGGAGCGCCCGCAATGGCTCTGGCGAGGGAGCAGAGTTTTGAGCGACCCTGGGCGGGGACTGTGGGGCGCCACGCCATGTTCCAGGCTCTCTGTAGGGCACAGGCATTCCAAACATGGGGGCAGGTTTAGAGTTTTACCCTTGATCAAGGGCCGACCGCCCAGATGTGTACAAGGCCAGGCATCAGTGGTAATCAAGATGGAGGCAAATGGGAGGGGTCCTGTTGCTGGGCTAAAGAGACAGTGGCAGGCAGCTGGGCCCTGTGGGGTGTGTGCTCAGAGTTGCCATAGCTCAGCTTTTTCTATGACAACCGCGACTGGAAACCTTGTTTTAAAAAAAGGAAGAGAGAGAGAGAGAGAGAGTGAGTGTGTGTGTGTGTATCTCAAGCCCTCTGGTGTTAATGTTGGTTTTAATTCATAAGGTTTTAGCATGTTGTATAGCCAAATATTTATATCTATATCTATCTGTCTCTCTATATGAGTTGAATTTCCCTGGGGTGCCAGTTTGCAGCCTCTGCCATAGGAGTCCTGAGCTGAGTCGTTAATTGGAAGATGGGGGTTACCCCTCGCCCTGGCTTTTACTCTGCTTTGGTAGAGCTAGCACAGACCTACTGGGGTTAGATTTGGGCATTGGGGGTGATCTGAGGCTAGGGGACAGACATATTCCTTGCAAAGTAGGCAGGACTCGCCACAGGCCTGTGTTTGTAGCCTTCCTGTACCATGTGTCTGTGAATGGGGCTATGCAAACATTTTCAAAATAGCGAGTGCCTTTGGGATGAGCCTCCCATGGCTCCCCAGACCCTGGGCACTGCAGGGATCCTGATCCCATTACTGTTCGAATTCATGGCTTGAAAGTGAGCTGACTCAGCAAAGGAGGAGTACCCCAGGGAATTCTTGGGAGGAAGCTACCGTGGGTCAGCTGGCTCTTCTGGGCCCCTCTTGCACAGAGGGCAGACAGCTGGAGATACAGAGATGAGCCTCTGCCCTTAGGACACTCTGATCACATAGGGAGGTAAAACTGTAGCCCTGGAGGAGGGTTTCGTATGGCTCCTTGCCTGGGAGGCTTGGGCTGGGGAATTCAAGGAGGAGAGGGAGGGCCTAGAGGGTGTACGAGAAGAAACGTGGACTTAGAGCCCTGTGCAGAATTGGGTGGATGGCTGGGAAGGGAGAAGAGGCTCCCAGGTGGGCCTGATCACAGTGTGGTAGGGATGGAGAAATATTAGACCAGCCTACTCATCAGGGTCGTGCTGGAAAATAGGGAAGAGGGGCTTTTAGTCCCAAATTTTTGAGTCAGGAGGGGTTCAGTTCTGTTTTAAGGAACATAGATATTTGTTAATTCAGGGAAATATTGTGGTGGGAATGAGGGGCTGAGGAGATACAAGTGTTGTCTTCTGAGGAGAAAGTTCATGTGAGAGGGGATTGACCGTCTCCAACTACGTGCTCATTCCCTGTGAGTAGGTCTCTGTGTTCTGACCTCCAGTTGTCCCCCTTCTATTAGCCAGCCCAGCTTCCTATAATGTTTGGGTGGTTACAGGGGTGTCTCCTGGTGGGGAGGGAAAGGGCAGCTGAGTAGGACCTGGTGGCCTCATGGTGATGGTCTTCTTCCTCCTTGTCTCATGCCTTCTTCCTGCCATCCCAGCCCTTACTCTTTCTCTCTGCACAGAAAGAACCAGCATCTCCAGTACAGCCCCTATCTGTGCTAGGAGATGGCAGGATGGGTGTGGATGGTAAGACAACCAGTCCCACTCACGGCCTGAGGCGGCCCCTGACCTGGATACTGTGAGACCTTTTGAGGACAGCTGGCTCCTTGGTGGGACCAGTTGGTGGGGCCTTGCTCTGAGCCAGCCCCTAGTTTCCACCCTAGGTTCTCCTCACTGCTGATGGCCTAAGTGATGTCTGTCCTGGGAGTGGGGTATTGCAGTTACCCCAGGAATCCCTGGGTTATGGCTCAGATTCCATATGGCTCCATCCTTGCACCTTTCCTAGCTCAGGTTTCTGTGGAGAGAAGGAGAGTGGCTGAGGTGACTGGTTCCTGAATCATATAGGCTCTCATTGCCACCATGTTGGAAAGCAGACTCCAGACCAAACCAAGGAGCAGCCCCAATGGCCGAGAGGTAGTGTGCCTCCTCCCATTCCTCAAATCCCCTCTGCTCTGCTACCCCTTCTGCTGTGCCTCTCACTCCTAGAGCCTCCTTCACTCCATCTTTCCCCTTCTCCTGCCAAGGACTTTGAGTCCTCTCATCTCTCCTCATTGCTCTTTCCAGACTAGCTTGTGGTCCTCAGGCTTTGGGATGAAGCTGGAGGCTGTCACCCCTTTCCTGGGCAAGTATCGTCCCTTTGTGGGTCGCTGCTGCCAGACCTGCACCCCCAAGAGCTGGGTGAGTGATAGTAGGGCCGGGCCCCAACCAGGAAGCTTAGTTCTGGGAGCCAAAGCTCTGGGAAGCTGCTTCTTTTGTGTCCCTCCGAGCTTGGCTCTTCCATGCCCCATGCCTCTGCTTCTGTCTTTCAGGGGAATGGATGCACTGGTGTTGGTTGTGTGGTTGGGCTATGGCTTGCTCCCAGGCCTGGGAGAGTTGGGTGGGGGAAGTGCAGAGGCACCTAAGTGGTGATAGGCTGTGCCCAGAGGGCTGGGGTCTCATCATGCCTGTGTGAGTTTTGTTGTTCAGTTGTGGGGACATCACCCACTCAGAGTTCCCCAGCCCTTGGTGCATGCTTGAAGAACTCTTTTTTGGTTCATGCCATGTTATGGTGGTGAGGGTCCCAGATTTCTGATGAAGACCTGGGCTCCATGTTCTCTGCTGTTGAGAAGATAACTTCTTGGAGACTTTCCTGTGCCACTCTGAAAGAGGGTGATTCTGTACAGGATACAGCACTTCAATTTTGAGCATGGGCCCCTTTTTCCTGGGCCAGCACAGGATCTGGGATCAAACACCTTTTGGGAAATATTGTGCTGTAATCTTTTCTCCTGGAAAACTTAGCAGGCCACCAGGCAGAGACCAGAGGGGCAGCACAGAGCTTTTCTTTGCCAGTTTACAATGGCCCTCCAGGATATGCTATCTCTCCTCGTCTTTGGCAGGAGTCCCTCTTCCACAGAAGCATAAGGGACCTAGGCTTTTGCAATGTGATCCTGGTGAAGGAGGAGAACACCAGGTAGTCAGAGCTACAGAGTGGAGCAGGGTTGGGGACAGGGCCCCTTGGGTGCAGGGCTTCTGGGGCCCTGATTTTAGCTGCCATTTTCTTCCTCTGATAAAAAAAGAAGGGCCCCGTCCTCTGTTTCATACAGAAGTCTGCAGGGAGGGGCACTTGGAGCTCTCCTACAGTTCCTTCTGTGAGCATGTATGGATTGCCCACCATGTGTCAGGCTGTGAACCTGTACCCGACTCAGCAGGGGGGTGGGAATGGGGCACAGGTGAGTAGGCTGTTCCTCTTCCTGCTCAGGTGTTCCTGAGACATGAGACTGGGGTATGGTTCCTTTCTGATTGAATAGCCCTCTGTGAGCCCTACTGGAGGTGGGCCCTCTCTAAATGATCTTCCCTCCTGCTTTGGGAGTTGTGCCCAGGTTTCGGGGCTGGCTGGTTCGGAGGCTCTGCTATTTCCTGTGGTCCCTGGAGCAGCACATCCCCCCCTGCCAGGATGCCCCGCAGAAGATCATGGAAAGCACTGGGTGAGCAGGCAAGGACTGGGGTCTGGCTGGCACTTCTGGGATCCTGAATGGGATGAAAATGACACTAGGTAGGGGTGGTTGAGAGGGCAGGCTGGGGCACAGCTTCTAGAGTATGAGCTTTGCCTGGGACTCTTCCTTAATGAGGAGGGTGAAGACTGGAGACTGTGCCCTGCCCCAGCTGATACCACTTCTCCCAATCCCCTCACAGGGTACAGAACTTTCTCTCAGGGAGGGTACCAGGAGGTGCTGGGGAAGGCCAGGTACCTGACCATGTGAAGAAAGAGGTACAGCGCATCGTGGGTCACATCCAGGCCCCACCCTGTCCCTTCCTGGTCAGGTAACTGTGCTGAGGGGTACTCACCCCTCAGTTGGGGACTCTGTCCTTCTAGAGAGTGAGTGTTGGCCAGGCTTGGGAAAGTGCTGGACTTTCCTTCTGGGGTGCTGGAGAGTGTTTACCAGAGTGGGCTGTGGCTGCCTTCACCACCGCCTCCCGTCCCCACATTCCCCCAGCGCAGGTCTGAGTTTCTGTTAGATGCAGGGTACTGTTCCAGGGAAACAAAGGGGTAAACAGAGATACACGTGGCTACAAGAAGGAAGGAGCAGGGCTGAGACAGAATACCAGAAAGGGGATGAAGAGACTGTAAGCCAGGGCCAAGAGGAGGAAAAGGAGCCAGGCTTGGGGACACTCATTTCATTTCTAGTCCCTTGATCTGCCTACCTTGACATCAGCCATCAGCCTCCCTTTCTGTGTTTCCTTCCTTCCGAGCCTAGCTGAGATTCCAGGCTCAGGGTGCTAATAATCCTCTTGTGAGGGATTCATGTGCACAACTCCCTGCTGTCTGCCTTCTCTTTGCACCTGAGCAGGCCAGCATTGCCAGAGAAACACACCAGTAGACTGGTTTCCTTGCTAAGTGCAAATGTCAAAGGGACACATGGCACTCTCCAGGGCTCCCACCTGGCCTACTCCTTCTTGGACTTACCCATTGTCAACTGATGCCCCATGTCATGTTTCACAGAAAGATAAAAGCCATCACATGGGACTTGCTGCTTATCCACCATACCTCCCTGCTACCTACAGCTATGTGTCTGTCTTCAATTAAAGGTTCCAGGTTGGTGTGGTGGCCCAGGCCTGTAATCCCAGCACTTTGGGAGGCCAAGGTGGGTGGATCGCTTGAGCCCAGGAGCTCGAGACTAGCCTAGGCAAAATAGACCAGCCTGGCAACCTCCTCTCTCCAAAAAATTAGCCAGATACAGTGGTGCGTGCTGAGGTGGGAGGATTGCTTGAGCCTAGAAGGCAGAGGATGTAGTGAGCCAAGTTGGTGCCCTTGTGCTCCAGCCAGGGCAAAATAGCAAGACCCTGTCTCCAAAAATAAATAGAGTTGTTCCTCCTGTTGAGTTTGAGGGACAACCCCACCTGCCTGCCCACCAGGGACTTCCCTCCTGCAGTTATCCCCTTTCCTTCTTCTATCACTAATTCTTCCCTGTTATTCCAACTTTCCTAGCAGTTTGCAAAGAGGAGGGTGGGTTCGGCCTGGGGAGAGGCTTGGTCCTCTTGTGTCCTTTAGAGTAAATGGAGGCAGATGCTCTGATTCTGATGTCAGGCAGCTGCACCATGAGGTCTTGGGAGAGTAGCAGCATCTGGTGGGCATGAACTCTGGGTCAGAACTTACAGTCCCAGCACCGCTACCTCTTAGTATTCTCTACCATGAAGCAGTTCTGTAGCTTCCCTGAGTCTTACTTTCCTCTTTTGTAAAATGACGATAGTGCTGGGGCCTGCCTTAGAGGAGCACTGGGCAGCCCTCCAAGGTGACTTGGGGCTGAGCATCGCCCTTGCTGCACCTCAGCCCTGGTGTCACTCCCAGGCTGTTCAGCTGGGCACTGCTGCGGTTTCTGAACTGCGTCTTCCTGAATGTGCAGCTCCACAAGGGTCAGATGAAGATGGTCCACAAGGCAGCCCAGGCGGTAAGGCCCGCCCTCCTTTGGGATGGGGATGGCAGGAGCAGAGAAGCAGAGGAGCAGAGGCTGGGCCAAGCCCTTAAGTCAGGAGTAGTCCCATTCTGGTCCTGCTTCCTGGCCTCTGCTCCCAGCCATACAGCAGCGCAGTCCCCATCAGCTGGTGGGAAAAATCCACTGCTCTTTGCCGACCTTCCCTTTATGTCTCACGGTCTTGTTCCCACGGGGCTTCCTCTAATGTCTTTTCATCATGGTCTTAACAAACATTACGTCAGTGCGTCAGTGCAGTTACCTTAGAAGTTTTGTAAAGGCTCCTTTGCTTTTGGGAAATGTGCCCAGAGGAAGAACTCTTCAGCTGAACCCTCCCTCCCTCCGGGGTGCCCTGGGTTTTTGGCTGCTTGTGTCCTCAGAGTGGGGCAGGCTGGCACTTCCCTCTGGCTCTCCCTGGAGCAGGGCTCACCGCTTGTCCTCCTCTCTACTCACAAAACCCTCCTGGATGGGATCCTGCTGCCCTTTGTGCTGCTCTCCCAGGGCCTGGGTGTGCTCCGTGTGGCCTGGGACTCCCGTGTCTGCTCCCCTGCCCTCAGGTAAAAACCTTGTGTCTGTGGACACACATGGGAGAAGTTGCAGGCTGGGGTCGGGTGTGTATTGGGGTGTGTTGGCGGCAGCTCCCTGCCAAAGTCCCTCTTCCTGGCTTCTCTGTTCCCAGCCACACAGCAGTTTAGCCTGTGGGGCTTAGATGGAGGGGTCAGCCACAGGCCCTAGGGCCATGGCTTTGCCTCAGGGTATTCAAGTAGGACACAGTCTATTCCTGGTGGAGCTGAGACTCTTGCTAGCTCTTTATTCATTCTCATCTTCAGAGCCCCTTGCCTTATCAGGCTTTGCCCTATGTCCCACAGAGCTCTGCTGAGGAAGCTTGGGGGGCTTTTCCTGCCCTCAGAGGCCAACCTCTCCCTAGACAGCTCTGAGGGGCTCCTTGCAAGGGCTGTGGTCCAGGCGGTGAGTGCCCCCAGTGGTTATGTATGGGCCAGGCTAAGGGGACAGGGATCTGCTTCTGCACTGGCCTTAACACCCCTTCTGTCCCCTCCTATTCCAGGTTATAGAGCAGCTGCTGGTCAGTGGGCAGCCCCTGCTCATCTTCCTGGAGGAACCTCCTGGGGCCCTGGGGCCACGGCTGTCAGCCCTGGGCCAGGCTTGGCTGGGATTTGTGGTAAGGGCGGTCCAGGTGGGCATCATCCCAGATGCTCTGCTGGTACCAGTGGCTGTTACCTATGATGTGGTTCCGGATGCACCATGTGAAATATACCATGTGAGAATGTGAGACCTTCCAGCCCCTTGGGCAGAGGCTGATAAGGCAAGGGGCCCCTAGGTGGACACCAGTTCCAGAGAGAAGGCACAATATTGTGTCCTGTGGCTGAGTCCCTCTTAGAGCTGCGAGGGCTTCAAAGGAATCATCCCTATAGTCATCTTACAGCACCTGCCAGGGCCATTACCATCTTCTCATTTCATCCTCTGAAGACCTTGATAGGGAGGGATTTTCCCTGTTTGATGGATAAGAAAAGAGGAACTTGGGGAGGGCAAGGTCATGCACCAGTGCGGCCTGAGATAAAACTGAGCAGGCTGGGACCTGAGGATACCCCTGGAGAGCAGGATGGGGTGGGCAGCCCTGATGTCCACCTGAGAGCAGTGCCCCCAGTCAGCCTGTACAGTTATCCTCTCCCTCCTTGCAGGCCTCAGCCCCCCTCGGGCTGTGGACAGGAGCTCTGGCTGTCCTGCGGAGCCTCTGCAGCCACTTGGGCTGCAGCCGTCAGATCTGCTCCCGGGTACACCTAGCTCAGCCCTTCTCCCTGCAGGTATGGAGCCAGCTGGGGATGGCTGGGAGTACCTGGGGGTCTGTCCTGGGCCTCCTGGCAGCCTGGCCCTCAAAGCCACTGCAGGGATAGCCTTGCCTACTTCCAGTGGGCTGTGGGCAAGTTTCCTGGTTGGCCAGAGCAGGTCACTTAATAGCCTTGTCCTGGGCAGGAATACACCATCAGTGCCAGAAGCTGCTGGGGCAGCAGGCAGACCCTGGAGCAGCTACTGCAACCCATCGTGCTGGGCCAATGGTAGGGGCAAGGGAGCGTGCGGTCTCAGGGGCGAGGCAAGCAACCCGTCATGAGCATCAGCTTATGTATCCTCCATAGACACAAACACACTAGCAGCCGTCCCTCACCAAATATCCTGGGGTGATCTAGAATAGTTCCAGGCACTCGCCTTGCTAACAGTCTGAGTGTGGGAAATGGCACAGAGGCCTGGAAGGGGCTGGGGTTTATAAATGCTATCTTCCGTCCTGGGACTGGGATGGGGGATACACCCTCACCTTTCAGAAAGCCCTGGGCTTCCTCACAACTGTTTTTAGGTTGGTGCCTTCCTTTTGTGATCTCTGTCTCTGTCCCAGTACTGCTGTCCCAGACACTGAGAAGGAGCAGGAGTGGACCCCTATAACTGGGCCCCTCCTGGCCCTTAAGGAAGAGGACCAGCTCCTGGTCAGGAGACTGAGCCATCATGTCCTGAGTGGTGAGGGTGAACCAGATCTGGGCCTTTGGGGGTGGGTCCCTGAACTGTCCCCTCTCTCTGGGTCAGCCAGTGTCCAGGGTCCTTCTTTCCAAGTGAGGGTCTGCACCTGAGCTGCCCTCCTTCTATGGGACCTCGGGGACATCTGAAGAATAATGGAACCCTCCTCCTGCAGGAGGAGCAGGGCAGCCAGGGGCGGTATGAGGGAGCAGTTAATTGCATGGACACAGATGATGGCCCGAGCACAGGAGGCTGCAGCTGCTTCCCAAGGCCACACCCAGCCCTGCCTTCTGAGCAGTCTCCCTAGCTGTGGATGGGGATGGTGTTAACTGAATGGAATGATACGTGTAGGGGGCTTAGCACAGCGTCTGTGCAGAGGGCCCTTACAGGGAGATCCATCAGTATCTTTTCTAGTGCCCCTGTCGTGGTGGAGGCTGTGGGTTGGTGTGTGGGCCCCATGATGAGACCCAGGGAAGAGCCCCCAGGTCCTGGCCTGGCTCTCTGCCTCTGTGTGATAAATTCATTGCTCTGGGCATATGTTGCCCCTCCCTGGGGTGGAGTGGGGATGTCTGATAATGGAGGGACCAGGCTGCTGGGCCTCAATGCCTGACCAGCATCTCCACCCGCTGTCCTGCCTCGCCCCACCCCAGCCAGTGTGGCGAGCTCTGCCGTGATGAGCACGGCCATCATGGCGACGCTGCTGCTCTTCAAGCACCAGAAGGTAGGGGGTACAATATGGTGGGGACCTCAGTGGGCGGGGTGTGGCCCTCCTGCTCAGCCCTGCTCTGCCCACCCAGGGCGTGTTCCTGTCGCAGCTCCTGGGGGAGTTCTCCTGGCTGACGGAGGAGATACTGCTGCGTGGCTTTGATGTAGGCTTCTCTGGTCAGCTGCGGAGCCTGCTGCAGCACACACTGAGTCTGCTGCGGGCACATGTGGCCCTGCTACGCATCCGCCAGGGGGACTTGCTAGTGGTGCCGCGCCCCGGCCCAGGCCTCGCGCACCTGGCACGGCTGAGTGCTGAGCTGCTGCCCGTCTTCCTGAGTGAGGCTGTGGGTGGTGAGTCTTGAGGGGTAGGTGGGATGTGTGTGCAGGTGTTAAGGGAGCAGCTCCTTCCTCATAACAGTCCCTCCTCACCCAGCCTGTGCGGTGCGGGGGCTGCTGGTAGGCAGAGTGCCGCCCCAGGGACCCTGGGAGCTGCAGGGCATAGAGCTGCTGAGCCAGAACGAGCTGTACCGCCAGATCCTGCTGCTGATGCACCTGCTGCCGCAAGAGCTGCTGCTCCTGCAGGTCAGGCCTCCCCTACGGCCCACTTGGTCCTAGGCCTTCGCCTCTTGGTGGTAGGAATGGCCATCCCTGCCCAAGCACCACCTCTGAAGTCTCCAGGGTGGTAGGTCTGGCCTTGCCCTGCCTTTGGCTAGGCCCCTGCCCATGTGCTTGGCTTGTCTGAGGCTACATGGGTCCCTTTTTCTCCCTAGCCCTGCCAGTCTTCCTACTGTTACTGTCAGGAGGTGCTGGACCGGCTCATCCAATGTGGGCTCCTGGTTGCTGAGGAGGTAGGCAGGGCTGTTGGAGACAAGACCCCTGCCTGGGGCCTGGCCTCCTCCAGCCTCCCACCCTGAGTGCCAGCTGCCACAGGCTCCTCCTCTGCCCCGTGTGTGCTGTGGGGGTGGGAAGCCCCTGGCCTTGCAGTGGGGAAGCCTAGCTCGCACCTCTGCGCCCTGGGCCTTGGGATATGGCCACCTATGCCCTGGGTGCGTGTATGTGTCTCTGGATAGCACTGGCATGTGTGCCTCTGAATTCCCCTGCATACCTCCTGTTCCGCAAGTTTCTTGGCCACAGGGCTGCTGCTGTTGAGGGAGGGTGTTCACTTTCTCTGACTCTGCAAGTTGGCCCAGCAGGTGCTGTGGTGTGGCATGGCTCTGGGCATCCTTTTAGGCACTCCAGATCTGGTTTTACTGGATTCACCTGCATGTACCTGGTCTGGGGGTGTAGGGTTGATCCCTGGCCAGCTTGTCAGAGAACAATGGTTCCACGGCCCCCAGACCCCTGGCTCCCGGGCAGCTTGTGACACAGGGTGACAGTGATTGAGCAGAAAGCTGCTGTGGAAACCCAGTGGGGACTTTACTGATAGTGACAGTGATGATTTTGAAGAGGCCGAGGGCTGGTACTTCAGGGTGTGTTGGAAGAAGCAGCCCCTGGAGGGAGGTGGTAGGGAGGCTGTGGGGAGGTGCACTCACCCCGACCTGTCCCCTCCAGCTCAGAGCAGTTGCGCTGCCCAGACTTCTTTCTTTTCCTCTGCCGCCTGCTCAGCCCACTGCTCAAGGCTTTCGCACAGGCTGCTGTCTTCCTCCGCCAGGGCCAGCTGCCCGATACTGGTGAGGCCCTTCTTCCTTTGCAGTCCTCAAGGCAGGCTCTGTCTGTGTGGGGCCCCAGGTCTAGGTCTTCTCTCTTCCGCAGAGTCTGGCTACACAAAGCAGCTGTTTCAGTTCCTCCAGGCCACCGCCCAGAAAGAAGGGATCTTTGGTGAGTACCAAGCAGTCAGCCAAGGCTCCTGGAGGCAATGGTGTGTTTGCTGATGGCTGCTGCCCCCTGACGGACAGTGACAGCCCACTCTAGGAATGATGGCTGCGGAGTACAGACGGTCTTCTGTCCAGTCTGAGCTCTATCCTTCCCTGGGCTCCTTCTTTACACGAGAGGAGAGAAGCCTGTGCCCAGAGGCTCCCTGTCCTCCCGACCTAGAGCCTTCACTTCTGTCTTCTTTCCAGAGTGTGTGGACCCAAAGCTCGCCATCAGTGCTATCTGGACCTTCAGAGACCTAGGGGTAAGAGGAACCAATGTCACCATCTTCCTGTCCTCCTGCTCCCACCCCGATAGAGCTGCTCAGGAAAACCCAGCTATGTCCCCACCACCCCACAGGGCTCGCCTGATGGTGCCTCATTAAGACCCTGGGGTTTACCTGATGTCTTCCAGCAACAGATGTGGTGATGGGTTGGAGAAGGTGGAATGGTTTTCCTGCCTCTTGGTCTCCCAAATCACTGGCTCATCCTTCTAGGTGGGGTATTGGGGCTGCTTTGAGGCAGTATTTGTACTTAAACACTGAGGCCTGAGGGGCCAGAGGTCTCAAGACAGCTTTCTGGGGGACAGGCCTGGCCCCTGGGCCCTGTGGACACAGTCCCTGTGGTGAGGGCACTCACGGCCCATCTTCCATGGCCCAGGTTCTGCAGCAGATACCGAGCCCTGCAGGCCCCAGGCTCCACCTGTCTTCTACTTTTGCCAGCCGGGACAATCAGGAAAAACTAGAACAGTTCATCCGGCAGTTCATTTGTAGCTAGAACTGTGAGGTGGAGCCTGTGCTGAGACTTCTCAGCTCCAGAACACAGCTGTCCTAGAGCCAGAAGACAGGCAGGAGGCTGCAAACCCTTAGCTGGTCTATAAAATCATTGAGGCTTGGTTGTCCCTTGCCATTTCTTGTTTTCTCCCTCCTTTGATATAATAAACAAGACTGGTCGTGTTGTCTTTTCCCAAGCCCCGCAGTATCTTTTTGGCATACGTGTATATGTGTATTTGCTTTCTTTCCCACAAAAGCGCCCCCACTTGTCCCATGAAACAAAGCCCAAAAGAAGACAAACAGTAGTAGAAGCCAAATGGCTGCTTTGGCCTAAAGAGTTTATTGAAGAGAGTTTTTTTCCTCCCTTCTACCTAGAAGAAGAGGCTTGCAGGGCTGGCCCCTGCCCACACCTGGCATTGGGCCTTTCCCTGGACTAGGCTGAGTGGGAGCAGATGCCCCTCCTATGTTGAGGGCCTGTGCAGGATCCATCACACCACCTTGTTGATGATGACACCTAGTTCTTCAATCTCACACTGGACTTCATCCCCCTTCTGCAACAGAGCAGGAAGCCGTGAAGGGGTCAGCCCTTCTGTCAGACACACATACATACATGCAAGCCTGTACTTCTCCAGTCTCAGCCAAGCCTGCCAGGCCTTTGGGGCCTTTGCTCTCTTTCCTTTTCACTAACCTACCTTGAGAAAGACAGGAGGTTTCCTGAATACACCAACACCTGGGGGGGTCCCAGTTAGGATGACATCCCCTGGGTAAAAGGTGACAAACCTGGAGAAAAGCAGGAGGACCCAGTGAAACCAGGGGCTGACTGAGGTGGCCACAGCCAAGGGCGGAGGGCTCGCATCTGCCTCCACATGTGTGGCAGGTGAAGTGGGGCTGGCAGGACAGGCCCTGTCACTCACTGGGAGACCCAGGCTATCAGCTCTTCTGTCTTGAACACCATCTGGTTGGTGTTGCTGCTCTGGACCACTTCCCCATTCACTCGGCAGCAGATCTTTAAGTTGTGTGGATCTGAAATGCAAAAATGGTACCTTGGAATTATCTCTTTTCCCCCCTCAAACCCTCCATATATTTCAAAAACACAACTGTAGGGTGCCTTCGTGACTTGCCAGGTGAAAAGGCTTTGTGCCTACACTGACTCAGTGCTCTACATTAGAACTTTCTGATAGACATTGGCCTTCTCAGGCCTCCCTGTATTCCCACCAAGAGCACCAGTCAGTAGTCACTTGGATGAGTTGAGAGGATGTTCCAGACTGAGCGGGGAGAGAAAATGGCTATGGTTTTTGTCTTGGAGAAAAAAAAAAAAGGGCATCTGTCTACAGTATAGGATGACACTTGTAGATACAAAGATGACTTGGCAGGGCCAAGTGTGGTGGCTCACGTCTGTCATCACAGCACTTTAGGAAGCCAGGGCAGGCGAGGACTGATTAAGCTAAGGAGTTCAAAACCAGCCTTGGGAATGTAGTGAAATAATAAAAACAGCCAGGCATGGTGGTGCATGCCTGTAGTCCCAACTACTCAGGAGGGTGAGGTGGGAAGTTTGCTTGAGCCCTGGAGGTTGAGGCCTCAGTGAGCTGAGATTGCGCCACTGTACTCCAGCCTGGGTGACACAGAGACCCTACCACAAAAACAAAACAAAACAAAAAGACTCAACATTGATAGAGCAGTGAGGTAATGGCACAAGCAGGGAGTGAAGCCTCGTGTGCTGGAAGCTGGCGGGGGATGGCTTACCGTGAGAGCATCCTGGCTAACCAGCGCTTTTAACTGTTTTGCTGCTGGCCTTTGTGTTCTACCCTCTTAAGCAGAGCAGCTGAAACACAATTTAACTTTGCCAAGGACTCTACACGGGGTGCTGTGGGGCACTGGGGTTTTCAGCATCCTGGCAAGGCTGGCCCACATGGAAATCCCCCACCTCCACCACGGTTGTGGATGGCTGTGCGTTAGAGGATACGCTCTGCTCTCTGGGCCACTGCCTCTGTCCTGGCGCGCCCTCCTCACTATGTGGTCAGTGCTGTTGTTTCCACAGTGGTTGGGTGAGTCCCATTGGCTCTCATCTCCTGTACTGTGGAAAATGACTGGCCTTGCAATAGCTGTGCTCCATGATGCTCAACTTAAAGGTTGTTCCAGATGGTGGCAGCCACAGGAAGCCTGATCTACCCATCAGCTCAGAGCTCTTTGTAATTTACTTCATGCATGCAGTTTCATATCCTCTGCAGTCGAGTTTCCTCTATGGGGCTTGGGAAGGAAGCCCATGGGAGACTCATGGCTTAGGATAAGAGACTTGCCCTGTATGGAGTCAGCAGTGAAAGGGCAGCCAGGGAGGGCAGGTGCACAAGTATTGAACCCACACTCCTCCCTGGAGTGCTGTTCATCTGTGCAGTGGTAGGCACAAGGGGGCAAGAACCAGGGACCTACCTGCTACACTGTCCTTGGTCACCAAGGCAGGGCCCAGAGGGCAGAAGGTGTCGAAGGTTTTTCCCAGCAGCCATTGTTTCCCATTGCGTCTTGTTAGCCAGTCACGAGCACTCACGTCATGAGCCACAGTGAAGCCGGCCACATGGGCCATGGCATCTGTGGCCTGTGGGGGCAGGGGATTTGGCCATACAGGAGGTGAGATCACGGGTGACACGAACCCCTATAGCAAAGGATCTCAAAGCCGTTATCCCATGTTAGTAGCCAGAGCCAGTCGAAGGTGGGTGAAGGGCAAGGCAGCGTCAGGGAGCACGGAGGCTGACCGCTTCCTAGTGTCAGGGACAGCTGGCACTCGTGTGTTGGTGAGTGAGGTCAGCACTAGGAGAGGCAGCAGCTGGGGCTTCTGCTGCACTCTGGCCTGGGAGCCCACCCTTTCCACCTCACCTTGATGTGCTTGCCTTTCTTTCCAATGACCACGGCCAGCTCCACTTCCCAGTCTACCTCCTGTAGGGTGGGAGAGGAGCAGTGAGCTGCAGTGGCCTCTGGGCCCATTCTTGATGCTGGGAGGCTGCACACCGTGGATCTCTGTCAGTATGGCTTGGCTGCCAGCCCATGTTTGCCATCACTATGAACCAGAGCCACATGAATGACAAGGGAGGTGTGACTTATAGACCCATACATTCATTTTGGGCAGTGGCAGGCAGTGTCATGGGATGCAGGCACAGGTCCTCACCCCACTGTGACTGCAGAATAGCAACACATGTGTCCAGGGGTCTGAGTTTAAGTCACTCTGGATACTTGTGACAGAGGATAAATAAGTAATACCACCTAGCATTATGTCACCGTATTGTGTCAGGCACTACTCTAAGTGCTTTAATGTATTAATTCGCTTTAGTAAGAAAAAGATTGACATTCCATAAAGGACTTGAATAAACAATTAACAAAAAGGAAAGGCACGTGGCCACAAAACATGAGAAATGCTCAGCCTCTCCCATAGTTCATAAAATATAGCTACAAAGTTCACATATTTAGCTTTAAAATTGGCAGCTCTTTCTAATGATAATAACCAGAGTTGGTATAAGTAAGTACGCCTGACATCCAGGTGTTGGTCTCTAATACCCCTCCCCTCTAAGAAGCACCAGGTTCCTTGGGAGAAATGGTTAATTCCAGGTCCAAGACAGACAGTACATGATAAGCTTGGAACGTCTTGGCCAGAAAGCAAATATATGCTGAAAGTGATGGGGATGGAAAAACTTGAAGGTTCCTTACTGGCCAAATTGAGGTCACCTGAAGAATGTAAATGGTGGGTTACAACCAACTGAATAAAACCAAGGAATTCACAGTGATATTGAAGACATAGGAATAAAGAGGGAGGTAGCTTTTTTTCATAGAAGAATACCAGCTAATAAAAACAGAAGGCATGATTTAGAAAAGTCATTGTCCTTGGTGTGTGGTGGCTCCCACCTGTAATCCCAGCACCTTAAGAAGTTGAGGTGGGTAGATCACCTGAGGTCAGGAGTTCAAGACCAGCCTGGCCAACACAGTGAAACCCCATCTCTACTAAAAATACAAAAAATTAGCTGGGTGTGAAGGTGCATGCCTGTAATCCCAGTTACTAGGGAGACTGAGGCAGGAGAATTGCTTGAACTTAGGAGGTAGTGGTTGCAGTGAGCTGAGATGGTACCACTGCATTCCAATCCAGGTGACAGAGCAAGACTCCATCACAAAAAAAGAAAAGTCAAGTCATTGTTCTCCATCCCCGAATGCAATAATGGATTCAGGAAGGATGGTAAGGATGACTATAGGATCCCTGGATGAGAAGCCATGGGACAAGATACTTATGTGATCTCAAACTACCACCCATAGATTGTTTATTAATTACAAAAGGGAAATGCATCTTCACAATGGAGGGACTGAGTGAACATCAGGTAAACTAAGTGGTCAAATTCTGGGACCACTGACATGAGCCTTCCAGTGGAATGCAATGGGAAATGTATAATGTCTTCTTTGTAGACCTCTTGATAAACATGCTTACCCTGACACTAATCATGAAGAAACAACCAGACAAACCCAGGGTGTGAAATGTGCTATGAGACAAATGAATGCTTCAGGGAAAGGGCAGGGGGGATTGTTTGAAATCAGGAGTTGGCAAACTATGGCCAGTTCACCATCTGCTATAATGAAGTTTGACTGGAACCCCACCATTCATTTCTGTATCATCCCTGGTGGTTTTCACACCGCAACAGCAGAACTGAATTGTTGCAAAAGAGACCATATGACACTCAAAGACTAATATTTACTAATTTACCCTTAATATGGTTTAGCTCTGTTTCCCCACCCAGATCTCATCGTGTAGCTCCAATAATTGCAACATGTTGTGGGAGGGACCTGGTGGGAGATGAATGAATCTTGGGAGCAGGTTTTTCCCATGCTGTTCTCGTGGTAGTGAATGTGAATCTCAAGGGATCTGATGGTTTTAAAAAACGGGAGTTTCTCTGCACAAGCTCTTTTTTGCCTGCTGCCATCCACCTAAGATGTGACTTGCTCCTCCTTGCCTTCTGCCATGATTGTGAGGCTTCCCAGTCACATAGAACTGTAAGTCCAATTAAACCTCTTTCTTTTATAAATCATCCAGTCTCAGATATGTCTTTATCAGCAGTCTGCAAACAGACTAATACAGCCCTTTAAAAAAAATAGTCTATTGAACCCTGTTCTAGATTGAAACCACTAAAAATATACAACTGAATACAGTGTGTGGCTTGGCCGATCAGCGA